TGATTACTTTTGTGTATTAAAACTGTTGTTGCTTGAGAGAGTGGCACAAGCATGTGTTCAGTAACCCTCTCTGCATCAGAATATATGGGTACTGCTAGGTAAAGTTCTCTGGCTTTGGTGCTGCAGGCATGCATACTCATATATGTCTGCTTCACATTTGAAGAATAACAATTACATTATAATTATATTACAATATAGGTAAAGAATAAAGCTAAGATTTTAGTTATGGATATTTTTAGTTAAAGTCACAGACATGGGGACTAAAGAAAAATTCATGGAAGTTTGTAACTTATCTGACTTTTACTAGAAATAGCCAGGACAAAATGGGGAGTTCAGCTATGGAGTCCACAGAAGTGAGGCAGCAGTGAGGGCTGTTTAAAGCTCTGGTGCCTCCTGTTTTCCAGGCAGCTTGGAACTAGCCTTCCCCACTCCCCTCCCCCCCCCCACATCACAGAGGTCACAGAAGTCACAAACTCAATGACTTCTGCAACCTCCATGAAAAAAATTGTACCTCTAGTAATGAACCATTTTTGACAGTTCCACTATTTTCATCTAGTAGTGCAACGGTGACCAACCTGCAGCTCATGAGCCACATGCGGCTCTTTTCTCCCACCCCTCTTTAATTCCCCCCAGGGTGCAGCTCTTTGCCCAGAATGGGTTGGCCATCCCTGTAGTAGTGGATTAGTACCATTGTTAAGATTCTTTTTTTCTAATTTATTTTTTATTATTCTTTACTGTTCTGCCAGAGGCTTCTGTTTGTGTCCTTTTGCTTCCCTCACCAGTTCTTATGTTCATTACTATCAACTTACATGTGTGTCTGTGTATGTTTTTATAGTTATCGTTGCTTCCCCTTTAAGCCAGGTTGAATTTATTTCTTTAAACTTTTTCTTTAAGTTTCTTTCCTAGTTGTGATGTTTGGACATTTAGCACAACTATCTTAAACAATTTCCAGTTATCATTCTTATTTTTTGGTTTAATTCTTTCTTCCAGCTACTTGGCTCATAATTGTTTTTCAGCTTTGAGGAATTGGTCTTTATTATTTACGCACATAGCTTATGTGATCAAATTATGATTGCTCATACCAATCTTAACATTAATTTTTGGTTCTGATGTTCTTTACTCATTCAGATGACACTTAATATAGAATTCCCCTGTGTTGGATGCAGCACTATTTAAATTATGAAAGTATCTATAATATTTAGAAATTCCAAGGCTATTTTGTACTGGGAGCATGAGATTTGTTATATACATTGCTCAGATTTAACCACTTATGGTGGACTTCAATCTTTTTATTCCTCATGCAGTGTTTCCTAGTCAGTGTGCTTCAGAACACTGGTGTGCCATCGAGCATAAACAGATGTGCTGTGGAATTTTGGACAAGTCACATGTGTGTGAGATTCTAATTATTTTAATTAGTGTCAAAACCAAATCACATTCTGATGTTGCTCTTTAGATGTATGTGTGTAAGGCAGATGCTACATCATACTATTCTCCAATGAGCCTATTGTTTGCATGGGAGTATGTGGGAGCCATGTTTTATCAACGGTTAAGTTATAGTTGTGAATTTTGAATTGAAAACTCTAAAATGGACAGATATTTTAAAAAGGAATTCTGGAGTCTCCACATCTACTTTCAATGATGAAGCTGAACATGGACTTAAAGTCAAAGTTTAATAACTCTTAAGACTTATTTGCAATGTGGATTTTTGTTTACAGGTAAACCATCTTGTCCTCTTCTGCAATGTCTCATGTGTGAAGAGACACTTTCAGTGCTGCCAACTATGTTAAAACACCTCATAAACAAACATCCGTTCCTTGCCAAAAAGGACAACTTTTTTCTGGCATTTAAAGGTTCAGAATGAAAATGATGAGTCTGTGTAACTGTTTCTGCTACAGTGCTGGAAAACAAGATACTTGATTGCTGAGTTTGTAGTGAAGCCAGAAAAACTACACACAGTTGCAGAGACCTACATTTTATCAGCATGCAGTAAAATAGTGACAGTAACGTTAAGTGCAAATGCAGTCACTGAAATCGCAGAAGTTCCCCTTCCAGATAATGTGATAAGTTGATATGTTGATGACATGTCAGCTGATATTGAGACTCTGCTCTAAGAAAAAAATAAAATCAAACAGACAATTTACATTTATCAACACATATCAGTGGTCATGCTCAACTGTTGGTGAATATCAAGTACATTGATGCTAATGGTATAAGAAAGTTATATTCTGCAAACAACTGCCAGGTCACATGACTGGAGAGGAAATTGTCAGGGTGATAATGGCTTACCTTGATGAGGGAGAACTGTACTAGAAAAATTGTTGTAGTGTTTGCACAGTTGGGGCTGCCTCTCTGACTGTCAAAGTGAAGAGGCTTGCAGGCAAGGTCAGTGATGAAAAACAGATGTTCTGGTGACCCACCATTTCCTGTATTAAGAATTGGTTGTGGCAAAAACACTGCCAGAAGAACCTTTTTAGTTAATGCTACATGGAGCACTAAGGATAATGATCTAAATAAAATCACAGCCTTTAAAATGTTCCCTTTTCAGCAGACAGCCAGAGTCTACTTTTATACACAGAAATATATTGGCTTCCCCATGGAAAAGTTCTCTCATTTGTATGAGATAAAAAATTAGTTCTTAACTTTGGAGGAATCCGCACACACGTACTAGATCTCTAATGTGGCATGGTATGTGAAACTTACTTACCTGGCTGATCTATTCCACCATCACAACGAGCAGGAAAATATCATTTCCCACTGCAAACATGGCGGATCCTACTTGGGAGCATTTTGGTCAGTGTCATTTCTTAACATCTGAAAGGTCACGAAGAAAAATTCTTCTCGTATTTTCCTTCAGCTTTTACAAAATATTTTGATTACGTCAGAGATCCTTTCTTAGAACTTCCATTGCAAAGGAACTGAATCTTACAAAAATAACTGAAGAGCAACATACCAAATTAAGGCTGGACTGAACTTTAAAATGAAGTTTGGTGATAGGCCTTTGGATTCATTCTGATTGTTGGTGGCAGATTAATACTCCATAATCTCACACCACATTCTCTCTCTTCTGTTGCTGTTTTCAGTAGCATACCTGCTTAAGTTTAAACTTGTCTTGCATCAAACACCAAAGGGCATTTGAGTTTGCTAGAGCAAAAGCTCCAAGTTGCATTGTCGTCATTTTCTTTCAGGATTCAATGAGTCTGTGCATCATGGCAAGTTCAAATTTCTTATCAAAAGTAAGGTTTTTTTTGTGGTAATTTTACCATGCCACACAAATTTTATTAAGTGAATCTTAGACTGAAAAAGATTAGGAAACACTGCTCTAGTGTGACCTTGTGGTCTGTAGCAGACACCAACTAATACCCTATTTTCTGCCTTATCTGTTAGATCAGTTCTTAAGTGCTTATGATCATTTTCTTCTAAGTTGCCAGTGACTTAGGAACCTCTTTGGATAGAGTGCTAGTCCACGTTTGCCCACTCCATGTTTAAATCTTATATGGCAACATGCCTAGATTAGTTCAGAAAACTATTTAAAGATAATTTCAAATCAGTAAAAATTTGAGAACCAGCTTATGGTTTACTATTGATTTAAGTGTACAAGTTTTAACCCATGAGGATCCTATCATAGCTTAAAAACTGAAAGGTAAATTGTTTTGTTTTTTTTATTAAAAAATACTTTTACCTTATGTTTTTCATTTTCTCACCAGATGGCCCTACTTCCAGATTGAGGATTTATAATGTAGATGTTTGATTCTGTAGCCTCAGGAAAAGAGACTGGTCAGACTAGGAAAATATATTCAGCTGAAGCCAAAATGTCTTTCTCTCCTTCCTTGAGAGAAGATCTAGACTCAGTGACTGGCGGTGACTATTTTGTTAGGAATTTGGGTTTAGCTTTATCAGTGACTGGTAGATGGAAGGAGAACCAGAGAAATACAGAGGCTAGATTTTTCCTGTAAAATGAAGCAACAGATGAGAGAATTCCTTTCAATATCAGCTGACTGTGCAGTTCTGAATTCGTACCCCTGACGTTCCATCGAAATAGTATGTGGCGGCTATGCATACTTGCCTATCATTCAAAAAGGAAAAGCTTGGAATTTTCAGTTTGGCTGTTTCCTGTAACCTTGTCCTACATGTTCCTTTCTGACCTATTACCAGAAAATTTGACATAGTTGTTTTAAACCTGGAAAATTCGCTATTCTCTAATTTACTCTCAAAACAGTGAAGCTCAAGAACTGTCAACTTTTCTCCCTGACTAAAAAGAATCCAATGTCCTGTTCTTTCTTCTGTTCATTGCTGCAGCACTGGATGTCCTGAGATTTTTGAAGGCAGGCTTGAGAAACGGCACAAAAACCTGTGGTTAGGCAGGTATGCTGTTTTATGTCTGCATTTAGGAAGTTAGCCACATAGTGTGTGAGTGAAAAATGTAGAGTTGTATATTTTATTTGCTAAAAGACTCGTCAGTTGTTGTCCCACTAAGAGAAAGACACATTTAGTCTTTGTTTTTAAGTTCACCATGACATAAACTGTCAATCTTAATTTCAGTTTTCTAGATTTTGTTGGTATAACCTATAACAATTTAAAAACATTTTTGCATCTAAACTGACATAGTACTGAACATTTACATTAGACCTCTATTGCCCTGTTTACAGAAACAAAAGAAAAATATGAAATACGGAAATAGAAGAAAGAGGAGGTTGGGAGTGTACTTGACTCTCCTCATCCTGAAAAAACAGGCAGTCAAACTGTAACTTGATGTGTTAGATCTCCTAGTGCTGTGCTGAAAATGTTGAAAATTACATCTGAAATTGTGAGAGTAGTTAGAAGTTCTCCTTTAGCATTAGATTAATCATGCTTACAATAACCTGAACTGTTTCTCTTACAACTACTTTTCGGCACATTTTAATTTTTTTAAATGTAAAGATGAATATCTAGATCTTGGTTTTTGTTTTACTTGGATCCTATAATCATGTATTGTTCGCCTTTTTCTTCTTCTCTCCATTCAGATGCAGAGTTTGCAAGGTGGCACAGAAGCTATAGCCCAGTTGGACCGGTTAGAAGCTGATTATTATGATCTTCAACTTCAGTTGTATGAAGTGCAGTTTGAGATCTTGAAGTATGAAGAACTGCTGCTGACAGCACAACTTGAAAGCATCAGAAGACTAATATCAGGTGCAGTACACATTTTATATGCCTAATCTGTTACCCAGCACCATATTAGTATTGGAACTGTAAAAGGAATAATCGACAATTTTAGCATTCTTTAAATAAGTAAAGATTTAGGACTTTGAATACAAGTACAATTAATCTGCATCAGGAGGAGATAAAAGTTTGTTTTTATGTTTTGGTTTGTCTCCTTCAGTTGGAATCTCATATCTAACATCTGATGCAGTTGGAAAAATTCGGGCTAGAAAGGAGGGAATTATTTTCTAATTGTTCTTGTGTACTGAGGGTTTGCCTTACAAGAGTTTTTGCTTTCAATTTTTTAAATGAGTGTTTAAGAGTAGCACATGGCAATCAAGGAGGCTTCATACTAATCAGAATTCCTTAGCTTAGCTTTTGACATCTTTTGAAACATGTTATGTTGCTCTTGTAACAGATCAGGGGTGCACAAGCTGTAACCCCCTCGACCTCATGTAGCTCACAAATCATTTAAAACCAACACACAGAGATGGTGCAGAGAATTTGTAATGTGTGTCCAGCCTGGTTTTCTGGGTTTTCTTATGCTTATACTTTTTACTTAGATATTGGCTCTCTGTATCAGTTCTAAAGGACTTGTGGAATGAATGTTTGTTAGAAAAGTCATTCTGGAGCATAAGTTTTCAAATGTGCTCATTGTGAATTACATCTTGAGATTCAGCACCTCCTAGGACCTTTTCTTCAGTTCCCAATAGTGTGAATTGCCTCTTCTTACGTGTGATTCTATGGCAGTTACTGTAATTGAGGCTGAGGGACTTGGGTCTGTTTAGTCTGCAGAAGCGAAGAGTGAGGGAGGGACTTGATAGCAGCCTTCAACTTCCTGAAGGGAGGTTCCAAAGAGGATGGAGAGAGGCTGTTCTCAGTAGTGACAGATGCCAGAACAAGGAGCAATGGTCTCAAGTTGTGGTGGGAGAGGGCCAGATTGGATATTAGGAAAAACTATTTTACTAGGAGGGTAGTGAAGCATTGAAATGGGTTACCTAGGGAAGTAGTGGAGTCTCCATCCCTAGAGGTGTTTAAGTCTCGGCTTGACAACGCCCTGGCCGGGTTGATTTAGATGGGATTGGTCCTGCCTAGAGCGGGGGGCTGGACTTGACGACCTTCTGAGGTCTCTTCCAGTTCTATGATTCTATGATAAGGGGATGGTTGGATGAAATAACATGATCTTGGTAACTAATTGACCATTCATTATCAGTTGGAAATAGGTCAATGGAGGTATGATAGGAGTTGCTATAGGGAACTTTCTGGGTATCTGGCTGGTGAGTCTTGCCCATATGCTCAGGGGTTAGCTGATCGCCATATTTGGGGTCAGGAAGGAATTTTCCTCCAGGGTAGATTGGCAGAGGCCCTGGAGGTTTTTCGCCTTCCTCTGTAGCATTGGGCACAGATCACAGCTGAAGGACTCTCTGCATGTTGGGGCCTTCAAAGTATTTGAAGGCTTCAATATCTGAGACATAGGTGAGAGGATTATTCTGAGAGGGGTGGGCGAGATTCTGTGGCCTGCACTGTGCAGGGGGCCAGACTAGATGATCATAATGGTCCCTTCTGACCTTAAAGTCTATGAGTCTATGAGCCCATAACAAGTGAGCTTAATACGTTTTTATCTGTCTTTTAAGAAAGTTTAGCAGTCAGCCTACTCATCTGTCTGCAAGCCATGTTTAAGTGTTCAATAGAGAACTCCTTGTTCTCAGACCACAGACTGGGAACCTTTGCCTTAAGACAGTGTTTCTCAAAAATGGTACGAGTACCCTTAGGGGTACTCGAGAGAATTCTGGGGGGTATGTCAATCCAACTGAAATTTGGAGAACTGAATTTTTATTTTAAGTTGTATAGTGTTTTATTTTTGTACTTTTTACACCCAAAAATGTCATCGCCCTCCCGGCTATGATTAAGTTGTTTAAACAAATGCGTTGCAACGGTAGACAAAAAAAATTGTCTGAAAACTGTAGGTACTTGGGGGTACTTATACATTTTTTTTAAAGGGGTACTTTATTAAAAAAAAAAGGTTGAGAAAAACACTGCTTTAGGATATGATTCTAGTTCTGATCCTGATGCCAGTGTGGATTACTTTCATGAAGCCAGAAGGGAACCTAACTAGTAAGAGAGCGGAGGAAAAAGTAGCTAAATTAGTTTTCGTTGAATTATTAGGAGAACTATAATGTTATGTTGACTTTCATGTTTGGAAGGTTCACTGAGTAATTTGAAGGAGCTCTGAGTTCAGGTATGTTGTCATTGGCACTGAGATTCAGTTTGGATATTGAGGTATATTTCACTATTACCAACTCTTCTGTTATAAGTGGAACAGTGGACCTGCTGTAAAAGAATCAATATCCTTTTTTGCTCATGGTAGACTTTCACAAGCTTTCAGATTATTACAGAATTGAAAATCTTCATAGCTGACTGCTTATCTTACCCCCAATATTTTAAGTTTTAAAAATATTCTTATTTCACAGTTTTACATTAAACAGTTATCCAGAAAGCTTAAAAGAGTTTGTCTGACTTTATTGAATCAAACAGTCTGTGTTAGGCATTCGTGTTTTTCAATAAACAGCAACACTAAACGCAAGTTAGGACAGAATACTGGAAAAATACGGTTCTAGTTTAACTACTTAATTTGGAATTTATCCAGCAAAAGGTAGCTAATGCAGTTAGTCTTGTGTAAAATCACATGATTTTTAAGTAGACACATGTGGTTAATATTATCCTCTGAAAGATGGCATCTCTCAAACTACAGTGGCCTGTAACAGACGTGATTTATAACTGACTCAGAGACCGTGCTGTTGTTTGGATCATCAATCCTACTTCTTTTAAAGTACAGTTATGATAAAAGTAGCAGCCTTCTTATGGAACAGATCTGTGTTATGTACATTTTCGTAACCACTGTCAGCTGGAACTTCTTTTTACTCATGTAAGTTACATTTACACTGTCGTGCCGTGAGAATGGAGTTGGATTCTGTTCTGATTTCTGCAATATCAGCAGAATTAACTAAATTCTGATTGAAAGCCAAAACACAACTTTACTTCAGAATCTAAGCTTGAATATCTGGGTTGGTATTTATGGCAGTAAGACCCAGTGCTGAGTGTTCACTGTCCTTCCTGTTTGAGTCACCTGCACTGAGCTCCCCTCCAAGTAGCTTCCTTTGATCTGCCTGCAGCAGAGGATAGAGAGGGATTGTCTCTCCCTTACCTAGGAATTCACAATGAACTATTCTTTTTTTTTCCTTGATGAGAGGTTAGAAGGCAAATGTTTTAACTCAAACGCTGTAATGAATGTATTGTTATTCCACTTTAAGCCAGAGAGACTATAGTGAAAAATCTCTATTATTTTTTTTCCCTATGGGATAACAGAATGACATCCCCCCCCCATGGGCACTGAAGTCCCCCAAAGCCACCTGGCAGCCCATTCTGGGCAGATTCTGCTTCTTAAGGGTTCTGCCTGCTCAGCTCTGGCTGGTGCGAGGTCCACTGGCAACAGGAAAGGAGGCAGGCTCCCACACCCTGGGGTGCCACAGTTTGTTCCAGGGTCATACTTGGTGCTCATGGACTCCTGGGTCAGCAGGTTCAGGAAAAGCACCAGGCACAGGGAAGGACCTCTCGCGTCCCTGGCTGCCCACTGCCCCATCCTCTGCTGTGCCCCGAGTGGCCACGTCCCGAACCCAGCACCAAGCCACCCTGGTGAAACCCAAGCCTCACCTGTTTCCTAAACCCATGCTGGCTCCCTCCTTCCTGCCCAGCCACATGCGGAGCTGCAGCTGCGAGCAGTGCTTCTGCAAGGTGGGGGAGGAGATGCTCTGTAGCACTGATCTAGGTGTCCCATGCCCCCTTTGTTTGGTGCTGCAGCCATGCCTGCCCTCCTCCCCTGTGTGGTTGGGGCACCAGTGCTGGCTTCCTGCTGCAGGGAGGAGACTGGGAGTAGGGGTGGAGAGAAAGCCCTGAGCCTCACTACACGAGGAAGAACAGCTCCCCTTCCCGGGCTTGGAAAACAGCAGCACAGGAGCATGCTGTCTGAAGTAGGGATGTTAAATATTAGTTAATTGAATAGTTGAGTAATTTCATGAATTCTTATCAGTTAGTCGACAACTCTATAGTCTCTGGGAGCGGGGCCGGCAGCCAGTGCGCTCCGGCCTCACCCCTGAGAAGACCCCTGCCGCTATGCACTGCTGCCACTGTATCAGACAGCAGCACGGAGTGCCAGGCGGGAGATGGTCCGAGAGGGAGCCAATTTAAAAACCAGCTCCCCTTGTGGACGGGCTGCCTGTTGCCTTGTGGTGCTGCCTCTGATACAGAGGCAGCATCATGGGGTGGCAGCAGCCCCTGTTTAGGGGGTGGTCTGAGCTCCCGGAGCCAGCGCAAGCTGGAACTGAGAAGGGTTGCCTGCCCACCTGTCTCCTAATACACTTTAAATGCAGAGCTGCAGCAGGGTCGATCCCAGATCCAGCACAAGCTGGGACTGAGCCGAGCTGCTGGCCAGCCTGATAAAAAATGTACTGGCAAGTGTGTGTGTGTGGGGGGGGGGGAAGGGGTAAGGATGCATGTAGTCTATAGCATTAAGCTATAAGATGTTGCTAATTGGTTAATTGACTACACTTTTACATCTCTAGTCTGGAGGCTTTTCCTGTGCTCCCATTGGCCAGAATCTGGCTAATGGGAGCAGTGGGAGGCCAATCTGAAGACAAGTAAGTACCTGCCACCCCTTCATGCCCAGATCCTAAACGTCCAGCCCACTCACTTACCCCTCCCCGCTGCTGCTGAGACCCCGCATCCCCAGCCCACTCCTCTCCGCTCCTCCCCCCGCCAAGACACCTTGCACCTAAGCTCACTCCTGCCTCCTCCCCAGCCAGAAATCCTACCCCTGGCCTGTTTCTCCACCCTTTCTTGCTCCTGCATCCTCTATTCTTGCACTCTTAGCCCCTCCTGCATCTCACCTCCTGCACCCCTCATCCCTCATGCTGGCAGCCTTATCCCACACATTTACCCCTCATTTTTGGCCCCACCTCAGAGCCTAGGGAGCCCACAAAATCCACTAACCCTGGAACCCCAGAAGAGATAATTTGGTCTGAGGTCCTGGCCCTGCCCTCCCACATGAGGCTGGAGCACCAGGGGAGTGAGATGTTTCATTTGGGGGCCGTATCAGTGAGGGTTGAGGGTTTTTGGAAGGGCTTTTTTTCCTTCTCACTTGTGTGGTCCCCAACTCACTTTTCTGTGGGTTAGTGGCCCCAGAGGTCCCCCCCCCCTGCCATAAATAAAGACAATGTTGAAACCTTGTTGTGTTGGACATCTTTTACTTTATTTAAAATCAAGCCTGGCCAAAAAGGCCTTAAATAGGGCCCAGCCCCCATCTGGCTACAGCATCCTATCCCTGGCCCTGATCCTGAGGGAGGCTCTGCGGATTGTGCCCCCACTCACTCAGCTGTGGCAAAGAGAGGAGGAGAGGCCACGATCTGGCTGTGGCAGACAGAGAAGGCTGGCAAGTGTAGCAAGCAGGAGGCACAGCCCCCTAGTACACATTTAAAATGATAGGTAGTGATAAAACTTTTGGTAATGTCATTGTCCTCTCAAGTGTAGGGTCTTCCACTATGTGTAACCTGGCGACGCTATTTCCAATGAGCAGAAGCTGTGACTGAAACTTTCTGATAGACAATATGACAATCTCAAAATTTCTCTTTCATGGAATATATGAGAGATGTGAAGGATAGTCCCACAATAGAAACACTAGGAAGTGGTCATGTTTCTTGAATTTACATTTGCGATCATATGGGATGGCTTTGCAGCTAAATTTTCCCCTCGTGTTAGTTAAGGTGATATGCATTCAGGGGCATAGTGTTAAGATGTGGCGTTATGGAAAGTCTCACACTCCCTGGATGTGGTACACTAAGACCATTTACAGAGAGAATAATGAATCTGCTCTGTTACCTTAACTAATAAGCCTTTGGCTTTTAGCTCAGGTGGTAGTTTCCTGCACTAAGCTCCAGAGGTCCCAGGTTCAATTCTGCCCACAGGTGACAGCGTCTGTCTGAACTATGTTTTCTTCAAATTTGTTCTTATAGTGGTACCTGTGCTGTTAAAAATCCATGTCAATTATGTACTTCCTGTTCTTATGTTTTAGCTAAATGTAGAGCCTTACAAGGTTGTGCCCTTTCAGTATCTTGCATTGAACTGTTACCTTTGCTAAAGCCACCAGCTCCTCCTGTACATTGTCTAATGTGGGTTTGAATATTAAACATAAGCATAACCCTCCCACCCCCATCAACTTAGTGTTTTTGTCAATCATATACACTGATTTGACTTTTTATTTCTGACACTTTAAAAACAGAGAAGAAAGATGAAGTGGTGTATTATGATACTTATGAAAGTATGGAAGCCATGCTCGAAAAAGAAGATATGGCAACATCTATGCACTTACAAAGAGAGGAACTGCAGAAGTTGCAACAGAAAATCCGCCAGCTGGAAGCAAGGCGTGGACGCATTTCAGCCAAGAAAGCCTACCTCAGAAACAAAAAGGTAATATTAAATTATACAGTTTTTCTCTTAACATACTTCCCCTTTTTAGTAAAACCACGGAGGTATCCAGTCTTGGATGGGAGTAGGAATGTAAAATCCCAGTTAATCAGTTAACCTGTTAAACATTGTTTAACTGATTAAATGGATCCATGTGGAGGGTGGCCCCTCTGCTGTGGGTGGGGGCTGCTTCTTCTCAGCTAGGCTCACCACAGAAGAGGGCTGCTTTGGCTAGAGTGCCCCCTTGCCCGAGCCGGGGTTGTTCTGTCTGAAGCAGGTAGGGGACTGCTTCAGCCCACCAGTTAACCATAACTGGTAAGCATCACCCGGTAAAGGTGATGCTTTCGCATTAACCATTCACATCCCTAGATGAGGGGCTGTCATGGCTCCTTCCCCACTCTGGCACGATAAATGCAGAAGTGGGGGCCCACAAGTACCCCAAAACCTTATCTTTCTAGGCTTTGGTTTTAAAAAAAACTTCTCCCAAAATCTTAACAACCTAGATTTTGGGGATAAAACTCTGCTGCCCCACCCAAGCAATGATAAAGAAACCAGGGAGAGACTACTTGGGATATCTCATCCCTAAAGTAAAAAGGACACACACATTAACCAACACCAGGTTAATAAAAAGAAAAGAGAGAGAACTTTTATCACCACCACAATATTCCTGTTGCAAGCATAATGACTAGATGGAATAGTCACCAGTAATACTCATGGGGAAACTCCACCATGGGCCTAGAACTTAGTTACAAAGGAAATCAAAACCATTTTTAAAAATAAGTGCACAGACATCAGATCCCATTTTCCAAACCATAAAACAATAAAACCTGATGGATTTATCTAAACTTTACCCTACTTACAGAAGAGTGAAGAGTCTATTCTTAGAGGGAGACATTCTGTCTGACTCCCTCAGTAGCTGGAGAGAAACTGCTTAGCACAAAGGAGGGAGAAATCAAACATTCCTTTGTCCTAGTTTGAAATTCCTATTTACATTCCTATTGGCCAACTCTACCCCTTAATCTCCAGGCTGCTGGCTAACCTTCATGATTATGATGGGCCCACACTGAGGATATGGCTACATTGGGGGAGGGGAGGTATTGAACAAAGTATGCAAATTACACTCACATTTGCATATCATCTTCTGTTTTTTTCTTTCTGGAAGAGGATTTTTCGATATTTGGCCCATCTACATGGGGCCAAATGTTGGGGGGGGGGGAACCTTGTGGAAGCCCCCTGTACATCATTTTGTTTTCCTGGCTCGACACCCAACGTACGCAGGGTGGGAGCGAGGGGATTGGCAGGGAGTGGACTGGCACTTTAATTTAAAGGGGTCACAACAAAATGTTCCTGACTTTTTTTTGTCAACAACAATTTTCTTGGCCGTGGGGGTTGCGAATTAAAAAAGGCTCAGCACCACTGTTCTAGGATAAGGGAAATAGGACACCAAGTTTTTGATTATCCTTAAAATTATGGTATCCTCAGCTTTCACTGTGGAACTATAAAGGAGTTTTGCAGCAGTTCAACCTCATTCTGTACCCCACAATTACAGCGCTTATTCTTTGAGCACATAATTCATTTTAGATGATTTGTAAATTGGTTGATTAAAAATGGGTCCTTTTTTGTTTCTTGTAGCTTTAATAAGGAAAAACCTGACTCTTCAGACTTCTAGTATAATAAAAAAAAAACCTTGTTTTTAAATAAGTTTCAGTTAAAATTGGAGATATTTATTAAGTTTGTTTATTTTGGTGGCTGCTGCTGTTCTTCATAACTGAAAGTTTCTCCTTTAGTAGAGGCTAATACTCATCTACAAGGAATTCCTCCACAAATTGTCATCTTTCAAAATATCTGCTCGTTGGAGCCCAGTCTGCCCACTAATATGTTCTTCACAAAATGGCTTTCATCTCTGATTGTTCTCAGTGCGGTGAAGCCCCCAGGCTGCCTTTTGCAAAGATGGCCACTGTCCTCATTCACCTGCTGCTCAGCGATTCTCTCTGCCTTATAACAGTTTAGGCTATGTCTAGACTGCAGGCTTCTTTCGGATAGTTGAGTGGACTAGTCGCTTCCCTCCCTTGCTGCTTCTATCAGAAAGAGGAAGCGGGGGAGTGAGGGGAAGAATAGGGTATTTGAAGGTGGCAGCGTCACTTGGAGGTTGGGGCCAGTGGAGGAGTCCCTAGCTGATCCCGGGCTCCATGCAGCACTGCTGCTTTAAAATGCTTCAAGGAGCCTGATGCTGGGCATTCCCCAGCTTACCCCAGGCTCCACACGGTGCTGCCACTTTGGAATACCTTTGGAGCATAGAACCAGTGGGGGACTGCGGAAACACCCTATTGACTAACAGAATAGTCGATGCAATAGTCGATTAGTCAATTATTTGAAATTTAAGATCCACATACTAAATTTGAAGAACAGCTGAAGAATTAATACAGAAACTGAGCAGTTATCAGCTAGCTAACTTTATATTTGTTTTTGTATGTACTACTTGCTTTTCAGTCATCAGTGTCTCACCTATCTTATTCAACATTGCATGGGAAGAACACAAATAGAAAAATTTCCCTTGTTACTTAATCATGTGAAATAGTTAGCTCTGTCAACAGATTCACTTATTTGGATTTTTTTTTTTGTCTGAGTGTTTTGGTGCCTTTTTAATGTGCCTTGCTTTTCAGATAGTAAAGAAACACATGCAGTATAACATATATTTAATCATGCAGAGTTGACCAAAGATTCTACTTTTAGGCAGAAAGGATAGGGGTCATCAGTAGCCCTATGTCATTAGATAGCAAGTTTTATGGGAAAAAGCTCCTTAGGCTGTTGAGGATGAGTATCTAGGTCAAAGTGTTTTGGTTACTCAAACTAATTTTAAATTTCATTATTGACTTTGTTTCTAATTTCATACTCTCCATTAAAACTCCTAGCAATTATTGAAAGGAAATAACATCCAGTGACTTTGAGACTCATGTTAAGTAAGGACTATAGGTATGGAAGTACCACTGAACTATTTTTTGCAAATGGCGGTATTAACACTTACCTGCAGTTCCATAGATGTATAGAGTGTACAAACCTGTAAGAAGACAAGGTTCCCATGCTGAGAAACTAGGCCATGTCTACACCATGAAATAAGGTCGAATTTATTAAGGTTCCCAGTAGGGAGACTGGTGGCGACTTTGAGAGCAATGCACTATTTATGCTCCCAGTACACCTTTTGGGACCAAAAGTGTTCCAGTACATGGTTTAGTCCGCATCCCATAATGCACTTGTCTACTCCTCTTCTCCTCGCCTCTTTGCTTGAGATCAACAGGAAACAGGGCTGTGGTTACCCACACAGATGCAAGAGCAATGTGTGCACGGACCCACTCCTGGATCCTGTTGTGCATTGAAACATTGTGATGATATTTACCTTGATGACCCATCCTATTCCTTGCTCTCATGGCTCATGAAGCCATAGATGGGCAGCCTGGATCCCAATAAGAAGCAGTTCAACTACAGATTGAACAACTACAGCTTGAAGGTGGAAAGTGCTTTTGGATTTTTCAAGTGAAAGTTTAGGAGTCTACTGACTAAACTAGTCCACAGTGAACTCAACATTCTTTTTAGGGTGGCAGCCTGCTGTGGGCTCCATAATATTTGAGAGAGAAAGGGAAGAGAGAGAAAGGGAAGAAAGCTATCTGGCAGGGTGGGGGCTGTGCACCTAGCCAGAGATTTTGAGCAGCCAGACACCAGGGCAATAAGGAGAGTACAGGGCAGGGCATTGCAAATCAGAGAGGCGTTCAAAAAAAGTTTTATGAATGGCTAGTTGAGTCCATGTTGCTTTCAACGAGGCGCCCCTAAACTTAGTGCATTTGTAACCCCACCTTGACCCCTGCAATAGAAGCAATAAAGATATTGTTCAGAAGTAATGTTTATTTAGGGAACACAGCAAGAACAGAAAAGGAGTCCATGGTGGGCACCTTGGTGGATGGGAGTGGGAATGAGAAATGTGATAAGGAAAGCCTCTTGCTTTGCAACACTCTGGAGGTTGAGTGTGGGGCTGCCTTTGAGGTTTCCTGCCCCCCCAAGGTTTCGTAGGACCATTGGGGGAGGAGGCTATAGAGCTGCGTGAGGAGGGAAAGTTGTTCTGCAAGTTGGGGAGGGGGAGAGCTCATCCAGGTATGCATTTTTGAAAGTCACTGTGTGGTCCATCACAGACATCCTGGATGTCAAGATGTTCTCCTAGTGCTTCATTTGCAGATCCTTGCACACTTCGCTTTGCTGACTTTCCACTCACATCTTCTCCAATAGCATATTGCTCATTCAGTTACATGTTCCCTGCCCAAGTGGATGGATTGCATTTGCTTCTTGAATATGTCTTGTCTTGTCTGTTTTTGCCTTTGGATTTGTTTGTGGCAGACAGCTGCTGGAGCCAGGGGAGTATGCAGCAAGCTGTCTGTTCTTCCTGCAACTAAAAGTTTTACAAGAGCATACATTACAGGAGATACGTTGTGGATCCTAAAACCTAATCTGTTAACATCAGTGAAAGACAATGGAGATGTGTATTGTGCAAGGCCAAAGTTATGCTTTAAAGCATCCATTGTACAGCAGGAACACAACAAAGTTCTCAGGGGAGCATCTGGACTCGAGTAGATTGGTGGCAGACCTGTTAAGGGTCCTACTAGGGCACGATCCTGAGTCTGGGAGGGGGAATGGGATCCAATTGTGTGGGCGGGCAGGGAGGTGTTTCACACTTGCTTCTCTGTGTCCGGCACACCCCATTTGCCAGGTGAGTGCTACTTTCCCCCTTCTTGCAGGAGCCTGTGGGCAGGAGGACAGAGGGAGGGAGGAGGGCAGAGGAGGCCCAGGAACTAAAGCCATACTTCTCTGTGGATGGGCAAATAGAGGTTAGCAGGGTTAGCAGCAGAGGCAGCAGCTAATAGCTTCCCTTCCTTCATCTAAGTTGCCTTGCAAGAGATCAGTGTTCTCCAAATCAGGCACAGAGATAGGGAGCTGATGACTGAACGTGGTCACTACCT